CATATGCTTCTCACTGAACGTTATCACCAGCAAACGACTCAAACGATCCTGCAAATGATCCAAATCAATCCCGAGTTCGAATCAATGAATCGAACATTCATTTTCTTCTTCAGAATGGGCATCGTTCAACCCAGTGTCATGCAAATCTCTTTACTACAACTTACAATACACTCATTTGGAAGAGCATTCGATAGGCAGTTGACAACAGGTAAATTGCCATCGTCCGTAATTAACGTTATCAACTTCAGAAGTTCAGCTTGTTGACTTCTCAATTCAAAATCTGTGCCATGACCAGAACTCCGACGCTTGAGAACACGACAAAGCGTCTCCAATAGAAATCCAAGACGTTTCGAATCGCTATTCCAACAACTCTCTGAAAAGGATTAAAGCTTCTCTGTGATTCGATTACAATTACAATAATTCCGAATGACAGTTGAAGAACAGAATAAAATTGTGTGCTTGAACAAGTTGCCGAAAGAGTGATATTTGTTTGAATTGAAAGATGGACAGTGAGAACACTCTGCATAAAATTACCAGCGACATTATCAGTTTATGGTATGAAAATGAATACGATTTCTCATGCTTGCCAGCATGTGATTTAACAATTACTATATAATGAACAGTATGACTATGAGTACCAGCAAGTTTATTGACACCAAGTTCACTGTTGCAATTGACAAGTTGCGCCAACGCTGACAATGCAGCGTCNAAATGAATACGATTTCTCATACTTGCCAGCATGTGATTTAACAATTAATATATAATGAACAGTATGACTATGAGTACCAGCAAGTTTATTGACGCCAAGTTCACTGTTGCAATTGACAAGTTGCGCCAACGCTGACAACGCAGCGTCGGATATTTTTGGATCATTCGACGATACTTTTGTGTCACTTCTCCGTCTCGGTGAATTTCTTTCACTGACCTCGGGCAGTGCATGCACATCAACGATCAACGAATATAGCCTGTAAGCTTTTGAAATTAAGCTCACCTAACCTCAGATATAATCGAACAAAGCTTTCACGTTCAAAATATTCATTATGCAGACGATCGGAAATGTTTACAGTTGAAATTGCTGATAAAGTAACCACTGGGAACTTGAATATATGATTTATTCACAGTTGGAGTTGATATCAGTGAGGAATGAAAATTCCAATTGTTTTGACTAGCGACTTATGTTCTGGGTGCGTTGCAAACACGAAAAATTAACCTGTTAAATGTTGCGGAAGACGGCGGGATTGCGCCCAGTATGAGCACTTTCGTCAGTGCTCTCAACGAGTGCAGGAGAGCTTCACTGAAAATATTCGATANGATCGCGTTCTTGAAAACTGCTGCACGAAATATATTTCAAGCGCTATAAAAACAAAATACTATGTAGAGAAAGATGACCTCTTGGAAGGTGAAGAAGGAAGTGCGATTAGAGATGCCAATGAATTTGTTAAGTATTCGAGAAGTCTTGCTTGAATGCTACTATTCATCTTCTGTGAATTACTTCCACTCAAAATCAGACACAGTAGAAATGTGAATTTACGAATGAATATCACCAGACGTTCCTCACTCTGCGGCAACACTTCTTCACCGTATCTTAAAATACAGTAGAGCAACATTCTTCGGGACAGATCATTCGATGGATAGTGTAAACAAGCGATTGAAAGAAAACTTTACACTGATCTATTCTCATGAGTTCATGTATTCACGGGAACGTTACTGAAATTTTGATTTTGAAATGCTTTACGCTGATGGTTTACATTTTCATTTTCATGTGAGCACGCAGTATTGGCCCCAAAGGAGTTGTTGTCGAATGACTTACGATAAGAGTGCCGTAATGATATGCACGGTGTTTTCGTGTTTCAACGCGACTGCCGATCGTCTTCCGAGCAAATTCGAGAGAATATAAAGGATGTGCTCAACGAACACTCCATCCGATGAATACGCGGACAGATTCAGCGAGATTATATGCAATATGAAGTGATCGAGACTGTGATCGATTTCATTGCTCAATATCTCTTTCACATTTTTACACATCGCTTCACGATACTCAACAGCATCCATTCGCAGAACCGATAGCAAACGTGTGATGAAACTGGAATTTTATTGGATCATTCAGCAATTTCGAATGATCATTTGTCAGTCATGATAGAAATTGAGAAATTGTTTCATCAAAAAGGATCGATCAAGTCAGAAAGTGTGCTTGATGATAAACTGCACGTTCATCACCACTGTGCCAATTGATTTTGCAAAAGCTTCGAACAATGGACCAAATCAAATCTTTACGCTGATGGTTTATCAAGAATACAATTTTTTTATCAAGGAGAATTTTTATGTTTAAAAATGATAAAGGGATTTGCGGAGAAGTGAGAATGAGTTCAACTTTGAAATGTGATGTTGTTCAGTGGAATAGAGCAGATGACTGATCGAACAAAGAAAAGCGCTCATATTCGCCCAGACGTCAATGGCAGCCTGTGATGTATCGCCATTTGCGCCCGTATTGGCAACGATATGAGTCAATTGCTCAATGGCATCGAAATGCTCTCTTGATGATGACATGAAACTAGTCGTAAATAATTCCCAAATACGATACGTCTCATGCCAAGCCTTAATCGTAATATAAGAAATGAATGTGATGGAACGAACCAGGAATTGAGATTGCAAATAAATTATCAAAGTTCACTGAAAACAATCCGAAAATTTTAAATTTCCTNTTCACAGAATGATGTTTCGTTCTCGCTATTGAAACATTACTCAAATTCACGTGTTGGATTGTTAAATATGCTTCAAAAACTAAACGTGCATAATTTCGAATGCTATTCGTGCAGCATCAAATTGAAACCATGCACAACACACGTATGGTTGATTCTATGAATAAGCAAACCTCATGAACTGCAGTGTTCGATTTGGGTAGTGTTCGCAATCGTCGGCAAACACTTTTCTGAAGTGCAATTCGACCGGTGGTGTGGATGTTGGATGTGGACGAGAGATGTTGTGAGATCTGTGGATCCACCGAGGACGACGATGGTGGCAGCAATGAGATTTGAACTGCGTTCAGCGCAAACAATGAGAAGCAACACAGCACTAAATCTGAGTCACAACTCCATAAATACAGAAAACACATCACCTGCAAATCTTCG